GTGTATTAGTATGTATAATAAACAGGCCCTTTGGGGGTGAAAGAAGCCTCTGTTTTCTGAGAAGTGATGATTTTACTCTATTAAAATTCCTTTTTATGCAAATATGGTGGGGGTGGGGGGTTATCGCAGAATACATCATGCAGAAGGCTGGACTGGAGGAATCCCAAACTGGAATTAAGATTGCTGGAAGAAATATCAACATCCTTCGATATGCAGATGATACCACTCTGATGGCAGAAAGTGAGGAGGAATTAAAGAACCTTGTAATGAGGGTGAAAGAGGAGAGGGCAAAAAACGACCTGAAAGTCAACATCAAAAAAACTAAGATCATGGCCACTAGTCCCATCACCTCCTGGGAAATTGAAGGGGAAGATATGGAGGCAGTGACAGATTTTACTTTCTTGGGCTCCATGATCACTGCAGATGGAGACAGCAGCCACGAAATTAAAAGACGCCTGTTTCTTGGGAGGAAAGCGATGACAAACCTCGACAGCATCTTAAAAAGCAGAGACATCACCTTGCCGAAGAACTGATATCTTTGAATTGTGGTGCTGGAGGACGCTCTTGAGAGTCCCCTGGACTGCAAGGAAAACAAACCTATCAATTCTAAAGGAAATCAACCCTGAGTGCTCACTGAAAGGACAGATCCTGAAGCTGAGGCTCCAGTCCTTTGGCCATCTCATGAGAAGAGAAGACTCCTTGGAAAAGACCTTGATGTTGCGAAAGTGTGAGGGCAAGAGGAGAGGGGGACGACAGAGGATGAGATGGCTGGACAGTGTCTGCGAAGCAACCAACATGAAATTGACACAACTACGGGAAGCAGTGGAAGATAGAAGGGCCTGGCGTGCGATGGTCCATGGGGTTACGAAGAGTCGGACACGACTAAACGACTAAAGGACGACGGGGGGTTATCAGGTTATTTGGCTGTTATAAAAGGAGGTCGGGACTTGAAAAAGATTGGGAACCACAAATTTAGAGGCTCATAAATAGCATTCAAGGTCATGCATTGGGATGGAGAACTTTCAACAATGTCTTCAGTCTCCTCTAGAGCCGACTGTCTTAATTCCTTCCTTTTTCAGCAATAAGACTGCATTATTCCAAAGGAGTCTGATGAGTTGCTGCGCACAGCAAACTGCTTCTTGACTTACTTAACAGGAGCAGCTGGCAAAATATCTTGCAGCAAAGGGTTGGTTGGATCTTTCATGGTTTTAAGAAGCTAAACAAGCGATGCTTTCCTATGTAGGAATCTATTCTTACTCATTTTTCGCCCTAGTTCTAGTTGTGCTGCTCTCTCCGGATCTCCCAAATTGGAGCTGGTTTATATGCCATTGAATCTGCAATTGCAGCCTCAGAACATAAGACTTCTGATTTATTGTCTAGACTCTTTTCTGTTCCTAGAAGTGAGTGAGTGGGGTTGATCTGATAATTTGAAAAATCAGAAATTAGGTCTTGGTCTTCTCAGTGTTTGCAGGTTCTCAGGCTTTTGACTTATTAGCTTCTTTCCTCACTAGCAATGTACCTCCATTGTCTCCCGGCTCCCCTTTTCTCTCAGCATCACTCTTCTTGTTTTGTTCGGCAATGAACTGTAAGGCCTGCGTCTGTACTGATACTCTGCCCTACAGCACTTCCTTTGCAGTTCACATGTTCTAATTTTTGCATCCAAAGCCCTGGAGAACATGCACAAGGAAAAGGCCAGGCTCAGCTTTGTCAGAGCAGGCATGTTCAACAGTGGCTCAGCAATAACCCACTTAGAAGAGGGCTGTGTATAAGATACTCAGCCAGGCATAAAACTTGAACCCGCTATGGCTCTTTATTCAAATCAGCAGATGTTTCAGATTTATAGGCTATAGAGCTAAATGGATCATAAAGTATAGTCATACCTGCCAAATTTTTAAGATCTGAGGAAATTTGGCTCCCCAAATTTTAGGATGGATTCTTGCTCCTGAGCTGCCTGTTCTCTGAGCATTATCCCCTCTAAGGATAGCTAGCAGAGCTTACTCTCAAGTAAATATGCTTAGAATATTGTACCCTTAGCCTCTCTGCTGCATGAGCTCTTTCTCTCATGATTTATCACATGAATGTGAGTTTGTTGCATTGTGCATGTGTGCATGAATGTACGAAGTGCTCTGAAGTTTTTAGATTTGCTTGAGGAATACTTCATGGAAACAGACAGTTCATCTCAGGATGAATTTCTAGAACCTTACAACAGAAGGCTACTGATGAAAGCAATAGTCTTTGTTTCTTGGAGTGTGAAAATAGCTGTTGCCAATTCTAGATGATGGCTTCATACAGAGAGATGTTGTCTAATCCTTTTGAAGCTTGCTGTGACAATATTCCCTTTTTTTTATTTCTGCAGGGCAGTTGACTTGTAGTCATGCCATTCAGTACATGAAATCCCAGTGGGCCTGAGCAGTGGCGCATTAGAGCATCATATTCTGTTCCTTGTCACCTGAAATCCTCCAGACAGAACCATCTTCTTTTGTTTGGCCGAGTTCATTGTTCTTTCTCTCACTGATCTTAGAGTTCTTTGGATAAGAAGAATTCACCAGTCAAGGTCAAAAATACTAGATCTATTATGATAGTTAGATCCTCTCTCTCACTGTCTCTCTCACTCTGTCTCATCCCAACCCACAACAATTTCCATTCATATAATGTTTTTTAAAAGAACAAGAAGGACTTTAAAAATTAAGAAGATCAGCAATGCCATGTGAAGTCATAAAAGGATCAAGAATGGAGTTTAGATTGGTTTGGGTTCATATATAGCACCTAAAATGTTTGGTACTGGAGGCAGTAAGTGGACTGGGTCTTAGATAGAGAGATAGAGGGACGGATGGATGGAAGGACGGACAGAAGGAGGAGGCTTTTATACTGCCCATATAATTTTTATACTGCCCATATGGCTAAAGGCCACTCTGGTAGGTTTACAGTATGTATAAATAACAGGCTTAGATGAAAGAGCACAGTGGTATAAACCTCTTTGCTAGTCTCACCTAGAGTAGGCTTACAGCAGCTGCTGAATAGTATGTCAGCACCTGTATTGATCTCACTGATACAATGGGTCTACTTCAAACTAAGGCTAGCAGCAGGATTTAGGCACTGGTCTTTTAGTTCTTTGGAAGAGACTTTGCTCTGAATCTATGAGACAATCTATGGCGCTCAAGGTAGTATATTGGGTCTTTTCTTCTTCCCTGTTTTAAATCCTCACAACAAGCTCAAGGTAGTATATTGGGTCTTCTTCCCTGTTTTAAATCCTCACAACAGTCCTTTTATATAGTGACTAGACTGAGATCAAAACTATTCCACAGTTATCCAGTAAGCTTTCATGGCTTCCTGGGATTTAAATGTGGCTCTCCTATCTCAGATGACTATTCTGACCATTACACTGGGTCTGAATATTTTTTTAAAAAAATATGCTATTCTGACCATTACACCACACTGAACCCCCCTCTGAAGGAAGTTTTTTTAAACAAAAAATTATTCTGACCCAGGATGCATATAAAACTAGATGACAACATCTGATAATCTTTTTAAAGTAACCTCTGGTACTAAAAATAGTAATTACAAATGGTCAGGTCAATTCTGACTTATGGCAGTCCTTGTCAGGGTTTTCCATATTCAGACGTGGCTTACCAGTCCCTTTCTCTTGGGCCGCTCTGGGACTGCAGCTTCCCAAAGGAGGCATAGTGGTGGACCGCACTCCAGCCTCTGGCTCTACAGCCAGGTACTCAATTCACTGAGCTGTCCAGCCAGCTTTTGTACTAAAAAAGTAATTCTAAATAACATTAATATTTTAAGATGCCATTCAATACTGGTGTGTGTGTGTGTGTGCGTTCGTGTGTGTGTGTGTGTTTGCTACAGCTGACTAACATAACATGACTGGTCCTTAGCAATTTTAGGATTTATGTTAGTTACACCATGTTGTTTGTAGTTCTGTCCAAATCAGATGCTAAAAATAATGTAAGGTATTTCAAGTATCAATAGTAGGTCTGGAGCAGGGTGAACAACCTTCAGAGATCAGGGAACCACTTAAACCTGTCCCAGAAATTTTGACGGCCAATCCAATGACCCCTAAAATATTTTTATCTCAAAAAAGCCCACTTTCGCCCCCTCGTGGTTTGATTTTTAAAGGGGAGCTTCCATAAGAGCTTCCAAGGTGCTGAAGGGCCACAAAAACGCCGGTATTTTCCTTAGTTGCTTTACAGGGCTGCATGCCATCAAGTCAATGTTGACTTATGTTGACACCTTTAAAGACTTTTCTAAGTACAGAGTACTCCAAAATGGTTTATTATTTCCTTCCTCTGAGGGCTGTCTGGGATTGCTTAGCTTGCGCAATCAAGGCCACACAGGCTGGCTCTTTTTCTGGGAGGCACAGTGGGGAAATCAAACTCCCAACCTCTGACTCTGCAGCCAGAACCCTAATTCATTGATCTATTCAAGCTTTATTCCCTAAAAGGAATAAAGGAATAAAGGAATTTTTGAACTTTTCCCTCTCAAAAAATAAGACCCTAATTCATCAAGCTATTCAGCCAGCCCCTAAAAGGAATAAAGGAGTTTTTGAACTTTTCCCTCTCAAAAAATAAGCTGAAGCTGAGGCTCCAATACTTTGGCCTTCTCATGAGAAGACTCCCTGGAAAAGACCCTGATGTTGGGAAAGTGTGAGGGCAAGAGGAGAAGGGGATGACAGAGGACGAGATGGTTGGACAGTGTCATTGAAGTAACCAACATGAATTTGACCCAACTCCGGGAGGCAGTGGAAGATAGGAGGGCCTGGCGTGCTCTGGTCCATGGGGTCACGAAGAGTCGGGCACGCCTTAACGATTAAACAACAATAGGGGGAGGGGGATGCTGGGGATCTCATTTGGGTCCCTGGGGTGACATGCAACTGCATCGTACCCTGTTCTGTTCTAGACGTAGCATCCTTAGCCAAAAAAAAAAAAAAAACTTTCTTGTGTCAGGGATATTTACTGTTGCTAATTTTTTGCTCTTGACCTCTCCTGCAGCTTGCTTGGACCATGGGGAGTAGTAAGAGTAAACCCAAAGACCCAAGTCAACGGAGACGCAGTCTGGAGTCCACAGAAAATATCCACGGCGGCTGTTCTGCATCCCAGACTCCCAATAAGACCACAGTCCCAGATGCCCATCGGACTCCCAGCCATTTATTTGGAAGTACAACTCCAGAACCAAAGCTTTTTGGGGGCTCCAATACATCTGACATGGTCACTTCTCCTCAGCGATGCGGGGCTCTGGCTGGTCAGTATAATTCTTGCTGCGGGAAGAATTTTTAATCCTGACTTCTACCATGTTTCTGAAATTGCATTTCCATGTACTTCTTAAACCCTGAGTGGACTGCAAGGGGCCTTTTAGACTTCATTAGACTGTAATTTGCATCATACGTCACTGTTGACTCTGCTGGCTTTGCCACATTGATTAGGCATTCTCACAAACATATGTCGAACATCCTTTGTCTCAACAAAGACCAAAGGCATTGCTAGTTTGCACTTCAACTTGCAGAATGCTCCAAATAACATGGCTAGTAGCCACGGCAGCCTTAATATTCTGTGAATTCTAGTTCAAAAAAGTAACTTTCCCCATCTCTATTCTAAACCTATAGAGGAGGTGTGTAAGTCCTCAAAGAGAAATTATTATTGAAAACTTGCAGATTTTTAGAAGATGTCCATGCATGCTCTCCAATAATAATACCATATGTGTAGCATTGGTCACTCCAGACCTTTCCAGATCTTTTTCATGGGCTAGTAGAGGAGGTGGAGAAGTGGAAAGCTCTCTTTCCTGATGTAGATCAATGCATTTTACTGTCTAGAAAAGCAAAGTTTCCAAACATGAAGAGGAGACACTTTCACACATAAAGCTCTAAGTGCAGGAAGGTAGGGACGGTGTAGGAACTTACTATGCCATGAACATATATTTGTCAAGAAATGAATTCTCTTGGCTTTGGGCTGCCCTTCCCACATGCGGCCCATGTAGTCATGGCCAATATGTCTGCACAGGACTTCAGAGCATTAGTCTCCTCAAAGTATGCTGCCTAGATGGTGCAATAATAGACCTCACCAAATTCAGTTGGGAGTAGCATTTGGTTGTTGTCTGAACTTGTCGTGTTGCAGGTGGTGTTACTACGTTCGTGGCCCTCTATGATTATGAATCACGGACAGAATCAGATCTTTCTTTCAAGAAAGGGGAACGTCTCCAAATTCTCAACAATACGTAAGCATATTTTGCCTAATTGTTTGACTGAATGATACATTTAGTTATCCCATTCTTCCATTGTACCCTAGAACTATCTAGGTCTATGCTAGAAAAATAATATGTTGTTCTATTTGTGCTTTGTGTTCTGGCTCTGATTTCAGTTAAGTTGTAGTTCCTTATTAGGTGCTGAGCTGATAGGTTATTAAAAAAAATCTAGTCATAGATTATAGGGGAAAGAACTTGGAAAACAATAGCTAGAATCCCCAAAATCTTCATAGGAACTTTTGAAATCAGGGGAGAGAGGAAGGAACTGATTGCAGACTGAGGGGTACAATAATTGTATGACTAAATCCTTCCCTGCAACTCGGAAATGAAAAGGAAGCTTATTTGGGTGACAGAACAGGATGCCAAAATAAATTAAGAATTATAATTTGAAGTATTATCATTCCCTGGAGATTGAAGTAGCACAATATATATTGGCCAAAATCCTAATGCTTACATATGCCATATAAATGCAATTGCATACATTACACTAGAGAGTAGCTGTTAATTAATCAGTTGCTGTTACATTCTTTGTTGTGTGCCAAGTTACATGGCTGGCACACAACAAGGAATATAACCAGTTACTCCCTATCTAGCAACAGTTTGTTGCTATGGTTTATACTGTTTCACTTACGCTGGTGTAAACAATAAGTTCTGTCTCAAAGTTGTATTCTCTATATTGTAATACTTCTTAGATTTAGAAACAAGTATATATTAAAGAGCATTACATAGTTTTCCATTCAAGTTTCTCCCTACTAACATTTGATATTTAAAAAAAAGATGTGCAGTTATATTCAGTGTCTCTATGTGAGAGTTAGCGGTAGGAAGAGAGATGGTAACAGCCATGTTTCCACCACAATTTATATGCCTTAGTCTATCTAATCAACATCAAGCCAGATTTCAAACCAGGTAAGAGACTTAACAAGGTTTTCTACATCAAGATACTTGCCATATACCTCAAAAAAAGGTCAGGCCTCCTGCATTTATCAGTTGTCTAAGCACTTTGAACTAATTCTAGAACCATCCCTGGAGCACCAAGATGGAACTGAGAATTTGGTACTTTCAGTGAGAAGCAGTAAATCATGCAAAGCATGCTTGGGGTTGCAACCAGAATATAGAAGGTTTTTTCTATAACATCCTCTAGGTTGTTAGAATTGTGGGGTTAGACGTCTCAGTTGAGTTGTCAACTTAGTGGTTTCAAGCATACAATTTCCCCCTTATTTTATCCATGTCTTCTGTATGGTACCATCATGCTAAATTGGAACATTCCTACAGACGTATGGATTGAAAAGAAAACCTTATATGTGATAGTTTTCTGGGGCAACACCCTCATATATGCATAGATCTTATTTGGATAGATCGTGTATGCATTTGTATGCAAATTTTCCACTGTTCACCTTCCAAGCTTAAACTCGGGGGATGCTCAGCAAACAGATGTGGCCACCTCTGCCACTGATATGTTTTCATCACAGGAGGCAACCTTTAGCCCTCAGAAATAAATGAACAGTAGCGGTAGTCTGGTTTTAGATGTTAAGAGCCAATGTTGTTCCACATCATAGAATCATTGTGAAGGCAAGCAGGATAAAAGACTGTAGAACACTTATCGCATTAAAAGCACATTGTAAACAATTAATGATATTATTACCATATGACTGAGCAGATGGAAGTGGACTCTTCATGGCAGATGTTGTGCCCTTCCCCCTGCCTCCTTTCAGCAAGTATGTTTTCCACTTACTGTTCTGCTGTCTAATCACAGCATCTGCTCTGTGGGCTATCTGGGCTTCTCTGTGGCCTTCTGTAATCTTCTGTCTCCTGGCTTAAAGTTGCCCACAACAGTGAGAGATCATTATAAAAAACTGTGGGTTAGCAAACATCGATTCCACCACTGCCCCCCCCACCTTTAAAGGCAAGTGTACATAACTTGCCTACCTTCACATAGCAGACAATGTACACTTATTGTAAGATGCTGAGAGACAGTGATCTATGGGAGAGACAGTTCTCCCCATCATGTCCTGATTATGAGTTTCCCAGACACACCTGTTTAGGAAAATAGAATAGATGGGCTTTTTGGGTTTGGCTGGTATGGCAGATCACATATGGAGATTAATACTAGAGGATTAATACCAGAGCTTGGGGCAAAAAAGTATTTTTTGCATGGTTATTTCTAGAATCCACTGCCTAGCTATGCTGTGGCTGTGAAATTCTGAAAATTGTAATCCTAACAAGTAACTTTTTGAAGTCTGATTAATACTTTGTATGAAGAAAAGAGTTCATCTAAAACAAGTTCATCTAAAACTATAAGTATGTAAATATTCTCCCTTTAAATAAGAAACCAGGGGGGGAAAAGATTCCTGAAATTAGAAGAGTTGATTCCCTGTTCTCTGATCAATTGGGGGAGCAACCATGTGAAGACTAGATTGTGCTTCTTCTGCTAAGACATTGGCACATTGGGGAGCCATAGGGCAGGGGAAGTGCCAGCTAAACTGCATGCCTCTAACCATGTCCATTCAGTCAAGGCCCATTTTGTCTGCCCTGCTTCTTCCACCATTTCGGAGAACACAGGGCAGGTGGAGCACAGAGTCCTGTGGCTATGAAGAGCATTCCTTAAGACCACATGCCTCACATTAAGAGAACATCACTTCCCCTTCTCTGACTGGAATTGGTGAGAGGATGAGGGGAAGCAAAGTGTCTGATTGAGCAGCACAGCATTCATGAATGCTGTTGAGCAAGGGCAAAACCAAAGATAATGGGGCGTGGGGCATGGAAGGGGTGTCCTTTCTTGGAACATCTTCTGGGCTAAATCAGGAGCTCTGTCCTACAGACCAGATGTTTCCGATCCTCTGCCTGTGGATTGTATTTTCAGTTGTTCTACCTACAAGAAACTCTTTCCGTGTAAACTTGTGCACACTGCAGACGTGTTGGGCACATCCTGATTAAGGACGCACAGTTAGTTCACACAGAATAGTGGCTAGTATTCTGCTCTCATGTTCTCACTGAATCATTGCTGATAAGCTTTTGGGGAACAAGCAGGGCTCTGAAGAATAGTTTCCAAGTCATTTATTGTGGACTGTTGGTCCTTTTGTATCTTTTCCATTTTTCAATAGCACCTCAAAACTGTACTTGCTTTTAATCTAAGTGCTGTCTCTTTCTCTCTCCCTCTTATATCCTGCTCTTCATGCTTTCATTTAGGAGAAAGGTGGATGTCAGGTGTGTATCTTATAATTGATTGTTTTTGGCTTAAACAAGGAAAGCTAGCCTAAATACTGATGCCTTATCTGTTGAATAAGGATTGGTTGGAGGTGGGGGCGTGTTGAGGAGGTGCATAATTATAGCTGGGCAGAAGAGTAATGTTACAGATGAAATTTGAAGTCGTTATTATACTTGTTCACATTTATGCAGACTCAACTGTTTTAACTCTAGCTTTAAGCAGAGTTGTATGATTACCTTCTTTTGCTCTGAGCAAATCTTCTACCCCCTTCCTTGGGAAAGAGTAAAGATTCAGGGCTAGGAAATATTGCTGATGTATCCAGAATCCCCCAGCCAGCATGGAATTCTGGTTATTACAGTTCCAAAAAGTTAATTTTCTATGCTTTGTGGCCAGATCCACTTGACTTATTGTTATCTGCGCTGCCTGCATTCTGATAGTAAAAGTCATGAGTGTGTGAAAGCAGGTTTAATGTAACTATACACTGAGTCCTCCGTAATTTCATTTGTTTCTCCCCTGTTTATTAATAACTCACCTCATACCATAATCTTGTAAATACCTAGTTAGCTGCTTAAATCAAGGATGGTGGGATATAAGCAGTGAAACCTGAAAATTATGCATTTCTGTCATAGGGCAGTGAAAGGTCTGCTGCTCTTCCTTTAATTTTTCCCAGGTAACACCCAGTCTGTTCTCCCCAGTTGCTGTTCTTTCTGCTGACCCAACTCCTAGCTTTCACTCTCTGTTTGTTTGCGTTTCTGTTCAAGAGGGTAAGAAAATGCCACAGCAGCAAAGATTTCATATTGGGCAAAGCAAATGCTTTTTCATATGTGCACACATGCAGAGGTGTCTTGAGCACACTCCTGTACTGCAGTGAGTATTGGACCCTTTGTGCACGGCAGGAGAGGAAGCTGAACATGTTCCATATGCATTGTCTCAGACTCATTTTTGGTATCACCTGGCAGGAGAAAGTTCTAAATAGAGAAGTCCTAGAATGAGCTGGAATTTTTAGCATGTATACATTACTGAAACAGCGACGTCTGCATTCGCTTGAGCATGTCATGAGAATGGCTAATGGTTGGATTCCAAAAGATCTCCTGTATGGAAAATTAGTGCAGGGAAATCGCCCCAGAGGGAGACCACAGCTGTGATACAAGGATATCTGCAAGCGGGATCTGAGGCCTTAGGAATGGACCTCAACAGATGGGAAACTTTGACAACCTGGAGGCAGGTGGTGCAACATGGCCTCTCCCAATTTGAAGAGACCTTTGTCCAGCAGGCCGAGGTAAAGAGGCAGTCCCAAAAGAAGCAAAATGAGGGAGCTGGACAGGGGACAGAATGTCCTTGTCTTCAGTGTGGAAGGGATTGTCACTCTCGAATTGGCCTTCTCTGCCACAATAGACACTGTTCCAAGACCTCTATTCAGAGCATGTTACCATAGTCTCTTGAGCCTGAAGGATGCCTACATAAAACAGAGGTGATTGTGAAAACTGTGCCTCTTGGAGTCCTAATGCATGGAAACTAAGCTAAATGGGTTAATGTCCATGTCTTCAGTGTGGAAGGGATTGTCACTCTCGAATTGGCCTTCTCTGCCACAATAGACACTGTTCCAAGACCTCTATTCAGAGCATGTTACCATAGTCTCTTGAGCCTGAAGGATGCCTACATAAAACAGAGGTGATTGTGAAAACTGTGCCTCTTGGAGTCCTAATGCATGGAAACTAAGCTAAATGGGTTTTTCCGAGAATTTGCTGCTTAGCCCAGTGAAAGTATGTACATTACGAAAGTCAGACAGTTCTAATTGTCTCCTTGTTTTTCACCTACCGTGTTTCTTAACAATGACAAGCACTTTTTGTGACTTTTTTTAAAGGCATACATTGCTGAGGTCAGGAAATGTTCAGAACTGGAGGTGCTGTTTCAATATTAATGTTTTGCAGTAATAATCCTTTTTTTAAAAAAAATCGTACTCTTCAGTGTAGGTGCACTGGCATTGTAGAGGAAATCCAGTTTGCATGTTTCTTATTTTCTAAAGCCGCCTGGTGCAGACCACAGACTTAGCAGTCTGAGTCTAAGACCTAAAAGAACCTGTTTTCAGTGCTAGGGACATAAGCATGGAATGTCTATAGGAATGAGAAGAGCATGTGAAGAGTGTCCTGCTGTGATGCTGGCTGTGTGCAGTTTTCATTACTGCTCCACAATTAAGATTTTCATTACTGCTCCATATTTAAGATGTGTAGTTTGTGAAAGAGCGAAATCCTAACTGCAGGTCATTAAAGCTACTATTGCTGTTTTGGCAAAATCATAACACAGAAACAGATACATACACCAGTTGAATACGTGGGATATGGACCATTAGCCTGATTCATATTGCAAGAATTGACTCCCATGTGGCAAAGTGCAGTGGCAGATATTTTGTATTATTAAGATTGACAAAGTAGAAGACACACAGCTCTCCCACAAGGTTACAGTTTCCCAGAAGAGAAAGCAAAACAAATGGTGAACACACAGTCTGAACACTTTATATTTTCTCTCCACCCATCAAAATCTGCTGCCTGAAGCAGGTTCTTCACTCTGCCTGATGCTATAGTTCTGGCTGTGTCAATTTGAATTTTCCTGACCAGATACAGTAGGACTCCCTTATCCACAGGATCAGTATCCACTGATTCACTTATCCACGGTCTGAAAATATAAAAAATATTAAAAGTAAAAAAAAAAAGGAAAAAACACAATTTCATATTTGTTACCAGAACTGGCCTCTAGACGGAGCCAGAGACTGTGCTATGAATACTTGCTACTGAATAATACACAGCATGGACTCTGGTGCTCTCTAGTGGCCGGTTTCCAATCCCCAGTGCATACATGGTGGTCCCACTGTATAACAATTGAACAAATGTCACTTAAACAAACCATACCAAGGTGTCAGTCACTTACAAACTTGCTGGTATAGAAGAGTAAAGTTGCACTTGTGTCCTGCTTGACCGTCCCTGTTGACCATCCCACTGAGAGCTGGTTGGCCAGAATGTGAATACAATGCTGCCCTACACAAGACTTTGTTCTGACCCAACAGGCTTTTACAAAGTACCTTAATTCTGGTTTGCTTTCTCAGCCTTCTCATGTCTGGAATAGAAATTATGTCCAAACTTAAATGTTGCAGCCAAGCTAGTATTCCTAGCCTAAACTATTCTCTTCCTCTCTTTTAAAGTAATGAAACCAGAAACAAACCCCATGTTCCATGGAAGCAACTGTGTCCATGTTCCATGGAAGCAACTGTGTACGTTTTCACTTACATTAAACCTAATAAAATATTGCAAATATTAGTAATTTCATGCTTGTCTCTTGGGCACTGAGAACGAAATGACTGTCCTGGGAAGATGAGAGTACCAGCCCTGCCCAGCGAAAGCTATTGTAGAGAAGCAGGGAGGAATGAAATGAGTTTGAAGCTGTGCATTCCCCAGTATCCAATATCACTTCGCAGTTGGAGCTAAGGATAAGAGATACTTTCTCACAAGGATATTATGGTCAAGGCAAACTGCAGGTTTTTGGATGGCTGAAATGCTTGGACTTCTGCTTAGCAACATGATGGGGAGAAGTTTCTGAAACAAATGACATAACCTCTTGGCACGTTATGCTGATACAGCAGAAGAATTCTGCAGTAATGCCTGAAAGTTAACCCTCAGGCTCTGGATCAGGGATACATAAATGCCATTTCTGGCTGCCACTTTTTGCTGTATTTAATAGAGACGGTTGCTTTATTTAACCAATAGAGAAAAGCTAAGAATTGTGCTTCCTTCCTTGAGTTGCCTGAAGTCACATATATGGAATCGAGCTAAGAGGTTTTTTTTTTAAAAGAACTTGGAACTGGGCAGTAGTATGTCACCTTAATGACCACATGTTGGTACAACCCATCTGTGCATTTTCTGCGCATGTGTGAGCACATGTTTTGTATTAAGTCAAATATCATGATATCAGTGGGGCAAAATAAGATGGGGAGGGATCTAGACGCAGTGGTCCCCAACCTTGGGCCTCCAGATGTTCTTGGACTTCAACTCCCAGAAATCCTGGCCAGCAGAGGTGGTGGTGAAGGCTTCTGGGAGTTGTAGTCCAAGAACCTCTGGAGGCCCAAGGTTGGGGAACCACTGATCTAGAGGACAAGAATGTGATTGCACATGCTTCATAGAAGTGGCTTCAGAACACTGATTGGAGCAATCTGTATTAGTAAACCGAGCCGGTGTGGTGCAGTCAGTAAAGAGACTAGAACTCAGGAGATCCTTTGATGACCATTCCTCTCACCTTATTACTCATCTAGCTACTCATTTCAGCAAGTATTTCCAAAGATAAATGATAGCTAATGTTTAACTGAAGCTAAGAAGCTGTATTAGAAATCATGTTAAGTAATTACAATAGGTCTCATCCTCTTTTGTCTGCCAGCATCTGAAAATCTAGATATTTCTACTCTTTCTACTTTTCACTACACCACATTTTTAGTGTGGTATTTGTTTGATTTTTAAAATATTTTTATTTATTTTACCCATCACCCCAGCTACTATACAGTTCACGACTTCTGCTGAAAGAATGCTTCAATACTTGCTTTCATTCAGATAATCTTCCAACTTTGCAAAGCCAGATCATAAAGGCAATGTTTATTAGGCTATCCATTTAACACAGAAGTGTTATACTCATTACTTATACTCTTTCACAATTATCTTATCTCTTACTGTGTCCCGACCTAACTGCTGGGGCTTGACAAAGTTTATCGCATATACTGTTAATATCCTTCCCTCTGAAATGTGCTGTGATTTTCTAAGGAGCTCTTTTGCAGCATGTTAGATGAAACTGACCATAACAGAAGCAAGCGAGGGGCCAAGTGAAGAATTGGGGATGCCCAAATATGTAGCTTGACATATACGTGAGGTCCCCCATTCATTCTATATGAAAATATTTATAGTCCTTTCTCCCGACCGATTAAGGCTTTCCATTGAAATAGAAGAGAAAGCACCTCTAGATG